TAGGGTTTAGGGTTTAGGATCCTTCATACTTTACGGGTTCTAAGATGATTTGATATGGGGTTTGGGGTTTTGGCTCGGATTTTCAAGGCGATCCTCTGCGGGCTCTATGATTTTATATTGGGTTCGGGGTTTCGGGCCCTGTATAGGCTTTTGGCTTCCGGAGTGCAGCTTCACCAAAACCCAAGGATGTGGTACCAGGAGCTTGTCCGGACAAGCACCCGCTTGCCGGTCATCATGTCCTCTCTTGCCACCTTGCCCGCCATCACGCGCCTTGGGCTGTTTCCAGATGGGCAGTTCTGTAAATTCGGGTCCCCAAAATAGTACGGGGCACCTTTATAAAGGACCCTGAAAGGATCCTACTTTCAGAGTTCTACACAGATAGCGCTAGGATGCCTGGGGAGTCCACACAGTCCACACGGCTTTTTGGACCTAAGGCTCACGCTGCGAATTCTAGTTTCGCGATTTTTCTGTCCGACTTAGAGTAAACTACTCTTCATATCGGGCCGTGTGGTTGTCCAAGGGATTGCTTCTCACGCTTTGTTAAAGCAGCACATGGCACATGGCTGGTTCCCTCTTCGCAGGTCTCTGATCAAGGGAGAAAGCAGCAAACCCCAAATACTAAACTGAAAGCCTTTACCCTCGCACAGAGAGGCACTCAGATAAAAATGATAATTTAAACCAACCTAGGCCACGCACCTTGCTAAACCCTAATCCCCTAAACCCCGAAACTATGAACCCGAAACCCCGAAACCTTACAGCAAAATCTAAAAAATCTCTGCCTTTTCAACCGCTGTGGCCCCTTAAAGGAACCCTGAACCCTGGCTTTGTCAAGGGTTCAGAGTTTGGGCTTTATAGGCCTGAAGGAAAACCAGAGGGTTTGGGGTGTAGGAGAAGCCATAGTGTCCAGGATTCCGGGCTAGGGGGAAGCATAGGGTTTTAGGTTTAGGGCTTAGGGTCTAGGGTATAGGGTATAGGGTTTAGGTTTTAGGGTTTAGGGTTTGGGGTTTTGGTGTTGGAAGTCTAGCGAAAGAATTAGGGTTTAGAGTAATCAAGCCCTCAACCCAAAAGCATCAAACCTTAAACCCTCAGCCTCAACGTCCGAGTCGCGCGAGTCCTCCCCTCAAGCCTCAACCCTAAACCCTAACCCCCCAAACCCCCAAACACCTACACCCAAAACCCCTAAACCCTAAACCCCCAAACCTCTAAACCCTAAACCCTTAAACCCCCAAATCCTAAGCCTATTTCGGGGTCGATGTTAGGCTTCAGCCCAAGCTGTGGGAGTCGCCAGGGTTCAGGCGAAGTGCGGGCTCGGGGCTTTGATCTGAGCGTTTTAGGGTTTAGGGTTTAGGGTTTCGGGTTTGGAGTTTAGGGTTTGGAGTTTAGGGTAGAAGTGCAAAAAATGTCCGAGATATTTCCCAGAACATGTCCCAAAACCGAATTCGTATCTTTAAGGCGGATCAGTACTTGTGTCGCGCAACACCCCAAGACCTTGCTGGATGACCTTGTGCCCGGACATCCAACCTCAAGCACCACATACGCAGCGCGATCCCGGAAAAAAGGAGCTCCTTCCACAAGGGCGAGCAGATTGCGACGCTTGGCCGTTCTTTCTTCCACGTTCTGCACCATGCAGCAGTTTTCCGAGTCGGGGGCTTGGCACAGCATTCTCACATGCACCTTCAGCCGGCAGTTGACCAGTAAACACCATCAGAACTTGGGGCGTCATGCAACATAGGGGCCCGATGAATTTCAGAAGGGCCTGGCGGTCTGGGGGTCTGCTGGTTAGAGTCGGTTAGAGTGTTAGAGTATAATTCATAAGAGACTATTCCTACGAATTCTTCAGACCCGGACATTATATCCATACTTATCATTCATCAAGGATTGCAAGCGGAAAAACGTTTCAGGGGTTTGATGCGAAATCCGGTGTCTAGGCTTTGCATCCCGTCTGTGAGACCCTCGCAATAGGAACCCGTTAGAAATCCAAAGCCCCCGAAGAAACATGGACGAACCCAGCATGCATAGTTCTATGAAGAAAGGGACCCGGTTTAGGAACCCAAATTAAGCCCGCACCCTTCTAAAGAGGACCACTGTAGCCAAAAAGTCCTTAAACACTCCCGGGCCCGAGGATCTTCACTGCGAATGGCAAGTCCCTGCTGCCCATGGAAGAGCTGATCAAGACGGAATGTGCAGTGGATCTCAAGGCACTCCCAGGGAGGATGGAGAGAGCGTGCTTTTGGGGTTTGGATTTGAACCGTAACCTCTAAACCCCAAACCCCTAAACCCTAAATGCCTTAAACCTTTAAACCCAAAAGCCCGAAAGCCCCAAAGCCCCAAAGCCTCTAGTCCCTAAGCGCTAGACCCCTAAAGGCTTCACGCTTTTGGGTTTCAGACTTCAGGGTTAAACCCTAACTCTGACCACAAAATACCTGATTCTTTGAAGGAATGAGGTAGAAACCATGCTAATGAACCCTAAAGAGGGTAGATGTTTCGGAGGACAGGTCTGTTTTTGGAGCCTTACATCCCCAGAGCCTTTGAGCCTGGGCCTTGAAGGTTCAGGGTTTAGGGTTTAGGGTTTCGGGTTTAGGGTTAAGGGTTTAGGGTTTTCGGGTTTAGGGGCTAATGCTGTGGCCCAAAAGACCTACCTCTTAAAGGAAGTATAATATATAGAAGCCA